AATTTGTAGTCTATTAGACTCAAATTAGTAACATACTAATATACTATTACAATCTGTGTCACAACTTATTATTAATCGCTTTTTGTGAGAATTTTTTTTTTTGCCATATCTTATTATTCAGCAGAGAAGTACCGATCCAAAGTGAATCTCTCTCGCCTGTGATCAATCACAGATTAAATTATTTATGTTGGATTCAATTGTGATGGATATAATCCTTCACCAGTTTTAATATATGTATAACAGTAACGGTCTCTGCTGTAATCTTATTATCTAATTCTGCATAAACCCGCGATCAATTGTTAGCCAATCAAATGCAAACAGACATTTTATTGGTCGATTATGATCATATTATCTGTCTCATTTTGTGCCGATCATATGAAAGTACAACTTTTTCAAACGAATATATCTTGATAATTGGAAATTGTATTTCTAAAAAAAAGGCCGCTATTTTGTAATAAACTGGTTTGGCTACAAAATAGCGGCTTTTTTTTTTGTATTATTTAAGTATAATTTTGGATTATATTTTAAAGATACTCAATTTTAATTCTGTCTTTAGGTGTCCCGCACTATATAAATAGTTTAATTTATGATTAATCACGAGTGAGATAGATTCATTTTGAATTAGACACTGTCTCTGCTATAAATCATGATACAAACAAGATCAATTTTTTTTAAACTATAAAATTCATGAGTCTTAAACTATTATTAATTAATTAATTAATAATTAATAATTAATTAATTAATATACTACATACTATATTTATAGTATATAATATACTTGTATACGATATATATGAGTAACTAATCTTAAACCTGAAAAAACAAGATAAAACAATAAATATGTTTTTTAAATTATATAAAGTATCTGAATTCATATATTTATTTAATATAAAAACCCAATTGTATACCTACTTACAGCCAGATTTTGAACAGACACAAAATTTACTATAAAATACTAGAAATTTCAACATTAAAATCAAGTATTATGTATAATGATTTATAAATTACCTGCATTTAGATATGATCGTAATTTCAATTATAATCTATTTTTATGATAAGAATATAGATATTATATTACAAAATCATCAAAATTTCGTGAATAAACACAAAACTCATTATATCAACTTATCTTTGCAGTTTAATGAATATAAAAACTGATAAGTTATAATTCTGACCAAATTGTTAATCATTTGATCAGATCTGAAGTAAAATGATTTAAAATTTGACCAAAATAATTAATAATTTATCTGAAATCATAATTTATTGATTTTTTATATTTATTGGACAACTAATATTAATACATCAACTAAAAAATATTAAACAATAAAATCATAATTTTATAATAATTTAACCCTATGTAATTCTAAAATTATAATATTTTAAACCAACTAATTCAATAAAATCATGCAATAAACATGTCTTGATTGATTCAAAAATACAATTATATACATTACAAATAAGAACAAAACTTAAGCTAGTTTAAAACTTTTAAGTATTAGAATTATATCATTATTCTGTTTTAATTCAAATTAATTTCGAATCTGTTTACTATTCTATTTCTACTTACAATATATATTCTCGTAACAGAAATCTAAAAATTAAACAAATTGTAGATGCAAGATACATAAATAATTATTCTTCTTCGTCTTGTTCATAATTAATTGAAATATTTATAAATTTAGAACTATGTATACTATTCGTATAGCCTTCACTTTTATTTTTCTGCCACGACCATGATCATGACCATGACCACAATCACAATCACAACTGTGATCACGATTACAAATTGTTTCAGTATTACTATTCTTATCATTACCTTCCTGGTCACTACCAATTTCATCGATTTCTTCAAAATACATACTGGTCTTTTTACTATCATCCTTCAATTTACTTTCACTATTATTAGCCTCTGCGAATTTTAAATCACTAACTCCTAGCAAATTCTTGGCAATCTCATCTAACTTTTAATTTTTAGCTTATTTTACTGGTCTTGTATCAGATGATGAAAATTGAACCACTCTAACTCAACACTATCCGAATTTACTACATTTTTTAAAGGCTCAGAGTCTTTATTATGAATTTCAAAAATACTTTTTGATGAGTAGCCAAGAGTTTAGATCATGTAGACTGAGATAATATAGTCGAACCTTGAAAATTACCAGAATCCAACACTTGCTTTTTAACTTTTACATTATTTCAATATAATTAATATTCTTAGCATAAACATATATATCATCCTGAATAATTTCCAACTCTTCTACAATGAAAAGTAAAGACTTGTTTGGCTGAATAGAATTTTTAAAATATAGAAAACGAGAATTAGAATATGGAAATACAACATTAACCATAAAACTAATATTTTCAGTAGTATAGTCATTTGTCAAAGTTTTAACAATAGCATTCTTATTATTTGGAACTATCTCAGCCTCATTCTAAGCAATACCAACTACAGAAATCTTTAACAGGCAATTATTTGAATCAGGCATTTTATTAATATTAATATGTGTCAAAGTCAATACCATCATCTAGATTTGATAATAAAAAATAAGTAATACTGATAACAGTCTAATTCAAAATTTTTTAACATTCATTTTACCTTCACTCTTTTAATACTCTGATAAGTTTTAGGTACAACCTTTTCACTAACTACATAATAATTATTTTTTTCAAAAACAGCCTGACTATCAGGATCTCTTTTCTTAGGATCTATTAGCACAAATATAATCATCACCATACTATTAGATTCTTGTTCAACAGAGTAGATTCCAACTGCTCACACTACTACTGAATCGATTTTATCTTTTATGTATTGTCGAACTTAACTAACTTTCATGATAGTATTAGCAAAACACAGCATAATTGTTATTATTTTTTTTTCTTTGAGCAAGACGACTAATATAAATACCTACTGTATATGACCAATTTTAGAAACTTATTATATATCATAAATAAATAACACCAAAAAACGTTTCATATATTATATGTATCATTTTTTATCGCACATCTTTAATATTTCTTGAACTCTAACCTGATTTAAAATACCACTATACATGCTAATATATACAAATCGTAAAATGTAATTAGCAACAAAAAAAATGTGTAATATAATAACAACTATATGCATATATACAGGTTATCTCCATTAATATCAACCAATTTGGATTAGATAATAATGTTAATATATACAAAAGTTGATAACAGCGTGATGGTTTTATATAATCTAAGCCTATTCTTTTTTAATAAGTGACTAATATTAATAGGAGGTTGATATTAATGAGATCTATATAATTAATTCAATATTATGTATAACAACAATCAACAAAATAATTTATTCTACCTTTTTTTAATCTACATATTGTATTTACTACAAAATCCTTAATATAACTTGCACCCATTATCTCTTAAACC